TATATATATATATACATATACATACATATATATATATATATACATATATATATATATATATATATACATATATATATATATATATACATATATATATATATATACATATATATATATATATACAGTATATATATATATGTATATACAGTATATATATATATACAGTATATATGCCACAAAAATGTGTTTCAAATTTTCGTTGTCTTGCTTATTCGCCAGTTGTTCGATTTTAACTATCTGCATGTCTCTTTCCAACATATTCAACTTCATTAATTGTCATATAATATTATGTCCTAAGGCTGGCAACCTTTTCACAAAATACATTTACGCACATAATATACATTCGCTTGAAACAACAAAAATAACGCAAGTTTCTGAGAGAAAAAAACTAGATACAAAACACCGTGGATATAGTTTCTAAATTTATTAATACTTTTTAGAGTCGAAAAAAGTTTAGAAGTACTTAAATTTCTTCAATAAAAAGTTGTTTTTTATGGACATTTTCCCGTATATAGGCGGGATACTGGTATAGACTGCAAATGACGTCCAAACCGCGCGGTGATGGCGTATAAGGGGACTGAAACTAACGTACAAGCAGTAAACTCTGAGGGAACTGGAACGATAACTTGGCCGCCATCTCAATCTCGTTCCCCGAGCCTGCGATCCTCGGGAAGGAATCGAAGGCTCTGGGATAATCCGTTACCGGAAGCCAAGAATCCTGGCTAAGATTGAACTACGCATTCCATTTCAATGGCCAATCAGATTCCTCCCTGAAACGGATTATCCCAGAGCCTCGCGTTCCTTCCCGAGGATCGCAGGCTCGGGGAACGAGATTGCCGCCATCTTTGAAGCCACTTATGATGGCCGCCATGTACGTAATAGCTGTATTTCAACAAGGAAAAAAGCTAAAAACTTTCAACAGAACTTAAAATTTAATACAAAACATGTTTCCAGAACGTAGAGCAGTTTTAAAAGTTCTTTTCTCAGGAGTCGGCAAAGTCCGAAGTTTTTTTCCGGCACATTCATACTTGTGTAATATTTTGAATAGGGAACTGTTACCCAGGTTGCTGTTAGTGGATGCAAAATACTTAAAACTATTCAGAAAACCAGGTTTGAATCTTTAAAATTGAAACCTTTTGATTAAAAAGTTCTTTTTCTTGTCAATTTTCGCTCAAAAACAACCTTTTAACTGAATTTCCCGCTCCTCGAAACTCTTCCTAGTCCTTTTGAAAGTTCATTTATCCCGCGCTTGGCTTCAAATTTTGCTTCAACCAATCATAGGTCTTGATCACTGGAGTTATCGTTCCAGTTCACCTAGAGTTCACTGTGCTGCTGACGCGTTGGTCACGCAAGGCTTCACTTTGTTACTGCTAAATGACTGCTTAGGCCCAGTTTACATGAGACCACGACGAAGTCAAACCGGAATGAAAATTGAAATTGTCAGCATGTTTACATGTTTACATGAGACCGGTACGAAAATCACAAAAGTTTCAATTTATTCCCCTTGCCAGGCAATTTTCTTTTTTAGATGTCTTTTGTTAGCATGTGTTGTTCCAATGTCAAGGTTACAGCCGAGACCGTTCTGAAATGTACTTGTGTTTACATTCATCCCGGTGTCCCAGGAATTTTGCCCCCCCCCCCTCCCCCATAGAGATTATAAATAACACTAGAGGAGGCATTGTAATCTTAATTCAGTAAAAAAAAGGGAACGCGACTATTGGGGGGCAAATTCAAGTCCCCCATTAGCTGCGTTCCCAATTTTTAAACTCGATGCCTCCTCTAGTGTTATTTATAATCTCTATGCCCCCATATCGCCCTCCCGGAGGGCAAAGCCCTCAGGGGGGCTATATTCGCCCTCAGGGGGGCTATATTCGCCCTCAGGGGGGCTATATTCTAATATCGCCCTCAGGGGGGCTATATTCTTAGGATATTCCTAGAATATCGCTCCCCTTTTGAGAGGGAGGGGGCGAATCTCCTTGGAGGGGGGGGGGGGCGAAATTCCTGTGACACCGGTCTGAATTCATGCCGGTCCGAGTCAGTCGGCTCGGTCCAGCAAACGGAATGACTTGAGACCGGTCTGAGTTATTTTCGTCCCAGTCCATGAAAACATCTGTTATTAATAATACTATGACGGAAACGAAATGGTCCCGGTTTGACTTCGTTCTGGTCTCATGTAAACGGGGCCTTAATGACAACAACCCATACTTCACGATGTAACAATGACGTGTTATATTTCTACAGTACATGCGCGGAAATTATGATGGAGGAAGCTACGTGACACATTTTCTGGATTCCCCAATTACATTGTATTACACCAACCGTTTGGTGAAGCTTATCCCTAAATCATGGCATGGTAAACCTTGTATGAGGTTCGAATTAATTGCTTGTGGTAAGTTATATATTGTTATTGCGCGTTGCAGTTGGTATCGAGTTACTTATACATTTACCATGGCTGTCAAATCAATGACTTTTTAATGGGATTTTCACTTGGAGGGGGAGGGGGGCAATCTCGTTCCCCGAGCCTGCGATCCTCGGGAAGGTACGCGAGGCTCTGGGATAAGCCAGGAATCCTGGCTAAGATTGAACTGTGCATTCCATATCAACGGCCAATCAGATTCCTCCCTGAATAATGACTTTATTTACCCACGGTGCTATTTCACAATAAAGTTAAAAATATTTACAAAATGAGAAGTGATCTTCCAATAGGCCGTGCACATGCATATTTACAAAAAGTATTACTTACTAAATATATATATATATATATATATATATATATATATATATATATATATATATATATATATATATATATATATATATATACCAAATATGTATTTAGAATCATATATGAGTAGAGTGCTCGATATACCGAAGTATAGAGCTAATAAAGATAAAGATAAAATAAACCTGGTTTACTTCATAAGATATATCTTATGAACTAAACCAGGTTTATTTTATCTTTATCTTTATAGAGAGAGAGAGAGAGAGAGAGAGTTACAGTGTTTACTATGATTTTCTCAACTCACTCCTCGTATGATATTACCGTTTTTTCATATCTTGCTTACTTCTACAAATATTTTGATCGAAAGGAATGAAATGTCTGCCATCTTCATTTTTTGTAGATATGCACGTCACGTCACCCAGGGGGCCATGCAATATTTTTATCTAGACAACCACTGACGATTTTGCACTCCTTCGAAATATCAAGATCACTCAAAACCTTTAAAACATCTACCAATCACTATTTGGTCAGCAACGAATGCTTTTATTTGGTTAATCCCTGTTGTGACGCCACCAAAACTACCGTTAATGAGATCAAAAATTTATCCAAGATGGCGGACATCTCATTACGTACTATATAGTTAAAACATGAGCAGTCGATCTTTATCTGATATACAAACTCGAACCGAAGGCGAGAGTTTGTATATCAGATAAAGATCGTTGGCGAATGTTTTAACGTACTTAAAAAAACGACCCATCTTACGAGTTCATTGGCGAAGTAATTTTAAAAATAAGCATTGTCTAAGCCGAGAAAATCAAAGCTGAAGTTTATGTAAATCAGGACAAATCTTTATCCGATTTACAAACACTGATTAAACATTAATTTCTTTTGTATTTTCCTCGTGAATTATTAATGAGTTTTTTAATTCAAGTGAATATATTTCAAGAACTAAGCAAGATATGAAAAATTGGTAGAAGAGTTAATATATTGTTTCAAAAGTTCTTTTAAATGGGAAAGCGATTTACCATGTGGGAAGTTTATAATGACCAATAAATCAATAACAGTAATTATATATAAAAAAATCCATTAAAGGATATGGCAATATAAATTAAGTTTGTCTTATTTGAAAGAACTTTTAAAATTATGTATAAACTTTCTTCACAATTATTCCGGTTTTCGGAATACATCGACTGATTTTGATCAAAAGCAGCGTGCATTCCGCCATCTAGGATATGCATACATCACAAGTAGGGCAAAAAGCGAAATTTTTATCTTGCAAACCACATGTCATCAATACGAAACTCGATATTCCGAAGTCTTTTTATACTCAATTAGTATTATTTAAGAAACTTTTCGAAGAAATTTAGTCCCACATGAAGCCGATGAAAAACTCAGCTAATTAGGTCAATTATAATACCAAGGTGGCGGTCTGCACCCTATTTTTGGTCAAAATATTTCGAAAACCAAGCAAGGTGCGAAAACGTTGTACAGGGTCTTCATAAATAACTTTAAAATACTCATTAATATCAGCCATAATATGTCACGTGGAGTGACTTTATATCCGATAAAACTCGTCTTCATTAGTATTCTTTATATAATTCTTCATCCTAATTAGTATGATTATATAATTGTTCATCCTAATTAGTATACTTTTGTAGTCGTATTTTAAGCTATTCAAAACACTCAACTCGTGTTTTATCATATCTAAAACGCTCGGCTGCGCCTCGCGTTTTAAATATGATAAAACACTCCTTCTCGTGTTTTAAATAGTACTTCAAAAACTCATTAATAATTCATGAACCAATTATCCAATCTTGAGTAAGAAATTAGTCACGTGCATACGTCTTTATACCAGCTAAAGAACACTTTAACAAAAGACCATTGTTATGCAAACTATATAAAGATTTTTATATAAAGTTTTTTATATAAAGATTTGACTTATTATGCATACGTTTTTGAAGCCATTTAAAAAACTCGCAGGTCGTGTTTTATTAGGTCTAAAGCCACTCGCGCTGCGCGCTCGTGGCTTTAAACCTAATAAAACACTCCTGCTCGTTTTTTAAACAGTACTTAAAAGTTCTTTCAAATGAGACAAAGTTAATTTTTATTGCCATATACCTTTAACGGAAATTTAATTTTTCCCCCTTTATGTAGAGAATGTCCGTCAGTAAAGGTTTCACAAAATTCACGTGTTCATGCACTTTGTTTAGATAATCGTCCACCACCATGCCAGTCCAACCCCTGTCTTAATGGTGGGGAATGTAACAGAAATGAGACTGGAGACTTTTGTACTTGCAAACAAGGATTTACTGGCATCAACTGTCAAGATTATGAAGGTCAGTGGATTCAAAGAGGTCGCGGTTTTTACTTTAGTACCTGACTTCGTGCCGTTTTCCCAAGTGTTGATTGGTTTCAGCAAAAAAAATATATGGGTTTCCGGTTTCCCGACCCTACCTAGCTTTTGGACGTCGAAATCCCGACCCTAAACTTTTTTATTGGATCATGCTTGTAAGTGTTTCCACTTAGAGGAAAAAGTTTGTGGAAAATTGAAATTTGAGGCAATATTAGGGAAATTTATCTTTGGATGTGGAAGCACTGACTAAACAAAATGGCGTCCGCTTATTCGGAAAATTAAAAAAAAAGTGAAAAAAAAAAGTTAAAACTGACCTACCCTACCTAAGTTTTTATAAGAAGAAACCGGAAACCCACATATTTTTTTTTTGCCTTGATCTGTGTTAGTCAACGTTTATTCATAGATCTGGTCCTTCACCGTCACGTGCGTATTGTATTTCTGCCAAATCCACCAATAGCAATTTCCAATTTTCCCTGTTATTCGAGTCACGGATAGGTAACTTTCCTAAAACATTGCTGCTGGTTAGTTGGGCAAAAATACAATACACACGTGACGGTGAAGGACCAGATTTATGAATAAACGTCGACTAACATAGATAATGAATTGTATTATATAAACATAAATGTTATATAGAGTTTTTGGCCACTGAGAAAAATCGTATTTGAACACACGTAAAAAATACGATATTTTTACATGTGAAAATATCATTTGTTGTAAAACGCATTGCCACGGACGTTTTATTGTTTTTCACTGAATTTTGTTTATATAATAAACAGAAAAATACATGGGTGCTTGGAAATACCAGATTTATTTCTCATGTTGAACATGATATCTCACTTGTTCGCTGCCCGCACTCGTGAGATATCATGTTCAACACTCGAAATAAATCTGGTATTTCCGCGCACCCATGTATTATTCTCTATATATTGTTATTCTAATGAGTTTCCAACGACAATCATGCAAAATTCAAATTATAAATTAAGCTATAAAAATCATCCAAACATCAAATATTTATTGACCTCATCTTGCATTGCTAATGGACCATTTGCATTATAGATTTAATTTTGATCTATAAAACAAGTCTAGACAAAAATTTTATCACAGCTTGAAAGATCATCACAAAATTAGTAATATTCGAAAGTTTCGTTGTAAAATGTTGTAAAATGCGGTAATATAGCCTTGCGAAATTCGCAATTTTCAGTCATTTTGTATTGCAAACCTGGGGCCGGTTGTATAAAAACGTAATTAGCGCTAACTGTAGTTAGCGTTAATCACTGTAGTTAAATCCTTAACTGTAATTAGTTAACTACATGACTTAACTGCGTTGTACAAAACGTATAGTTAGTCGGATAGTTAACTAATCACGTAGTTAACTGTGCGTGGGGCGTTTAAACACAAAATTACATAAAGTAAGCAGCGAATGACGACCGCTGACACACATTTTCAACATGATTGTGCACTCGTATTTTGCAAATAGGCGGGAATTTTATTCAAAACGCTAGAAAAACAATGAAAAATATACAAGAAAACAAGGAAAAACCGCCACAAAAATCATAAAAGAATGCAGTTTTTCCTTGAGATGCCTACGTTAAACCAAGGTATAGCTGTTTGGCAATTATATATCAGTGTTTCTTGGTGTAATGGACCATACTTCGTCTTCGAGAAATCGTCCTGTGCAAAAATATGTTCTGTTTTCGTAAAAACACCAAAGCGATAGCGTTTGAAGAGTTTATATTGTCAGGAAACATTCACAGGGAAGATAGCGATTGAAAATCTCAGGTAACCGTTGCTTTTCATTGTTGTTTTACTGAAAAATGTTGTTCACTCCTATACAAACGCCATTTTTAACTACGTTTTGGACAGTTAACTATACCGGCCCTAAAGCATAGTTAACTTTAACTACTTTTTAACCGCAGTTAAGGCTAACTACACTGTTATACAACCGGCTTAACTACGTGATTAAAGTTAACTATTTTTTAAAGGCTTTTTAACTACTTTTTAACTGCAGTTAGCGCTAACTACGTTTTTATACAACCGGCCCCAGGGTGTTAGCTACAATAAAAAATTCCGCGTTAAACGCGGTTTTCCCAATTACCTTGAGGTCGCAATTTCCCAATTTGGGTCAGTCAAAAAATAGTTATAGAAATTCAATGTTGTTAATACGCCATTATTTAAAAACATATTTATAACTACATTTGCTCAAAATTACTCCCAAATAGCGGGAAATGCCATTTCAAAGACACAAAAATTTTAAAGATCGAGAGGGGGCAACCGCATGCCCCCAGACCCACAAACGGCTCGGCTTCAGGCTAAAATAAATTTCCCAATTTCAGGTAAACGCGGATTTTTTTCTACTTCTGGCTAACACCCTACAAACGGGAAATTGATGCCCCAACACCCGATTGGGCTGTCAATTTCCCGTGCGTAATACAAAATGACTGAAAAACGGCAAACTTCGCAAGGTTATATTATCCACATTTTACAACATTTCGCAACGAAACTTTGGAATATTACTAATTTTGTGATGCTCTTTCAAGCTGTGATGAAATTTTTGTCCAGATCAAAATTTAGTTTATAATGCAAATGGTCCATTTAAAATCTGCTAGATTTTAGCAGATCACGTGACCAGCGTCTACCAGCATCTTTTCTCCCCTCGTCAAGAGGGAAGACCCTTTTTACAATATAGCACAAAGAAATATAAAGAAAGAAATTTTCCGTGTTGATATCGAGTTATATCAATACGGCTTTTAGCCAATCAGCGTTCAGAATCTACAAATGCTATATTATAATTTCGAATTTAGAGCGTCTTTTTGCATAGTATATACTTTTATATGCGCTTTCTAATCCTTGCAGGCGAGCTCCATCTTGGGGGTTCAACTGCAATTTACCTTTTGAAAATGGTCCCTTTTTTATTTTGCAGGTGGGTGTATGCCAGCAATGAGTGCCTCACACGAAGTAGATTTTTCCAGCAAGAAAGATGGTTTTGATAATTATCGCATGGACTCCGTTAGCTCATGGTGTATAAGAGATGATGATTATGTCACTCCTTGGCTATTAATGACATTTCAAAGCGTGATAAAAATTTATGGATTTGGCATTGGCGGCCCTTCCAATGCTACCATGGTTTCATATCCCAGTAACTTCAAAGTTTTCACCAAACTAACCGATTGGCAAAGCTGTAGAGTTAAAAATACTGATGTGAGTTTCGGAATTTTTACTTAAATTCTTGCTTCACCATAAGAACAGTTTTAAAAAAAATGAAAAATGTACGATTTAGATCCGTGTTTTTGGACAATTATATTTCTTGTTGAAAAGCAAAAAGTGCGTTACTGGTGTAAAACAACATCTAGAGGTTTGAATTTTTTACAAAAGCTGCACAACTGCCGTTGCTGTGGCAACAATGACGTTTCAAGATGGCGGATATTTTGGCTTTAAAGTAATCTTACTCGAAAACGACATCGGTGATACCCTTTTTCTTTGTATACTCAATTACCTTGTCCTCCACGGCAATTTCATTTCACGCTTGTTTTTACTGTAAAGTACGTTTCCGCCATTTTGTTTGTTTTGGGAAAATCATTAATTGTACTGCGGTACAATTAATGAAATAATTGTACTCCTCTCAACCAATCAGCATCCAGTAATTTTGTCATGTTAATAATAAATGTGGAAATAAGCTTAAACACGAAAACGAGGCTGAAGGACCAAGAGGGTTCATGGCCGCTCAGCCTCGTTTTCGTGTTTAAGCTTATTTCCACATTTATTAGTCAAAATCCAAAATTCTTTTTCATGCATGTGTTGACGAACGATGTTCTACTTCTCCTGACTATAGCCCGTGCCCCCATGAGAATCAAACTTGAAATCTATTCCATTTAAGGTGGTCCTAAGTTGAAAACAGTGTAATTGTCACGTAATTACCGCAAAGGTCTATTAAGAGAGCACGCAATTAGCCATTCCGAATTTGATGAGTGGACTGGGGACGAGTGTTAAAAAGTGCCCAAATTAAGAAATGAACCAAATCACTAAAATGACCACCTCAAAATTAGTGAGTATACAACGTTTGAAGACGTTTACATGAATATCCTTCGAATAATAAGCTTTCGAAAATCGTGATATTTACTATGAAATGTATTGCGATTTTTGTTTTTGGGACGGGCATCCCAAAAACAATCTTTTAATCAGTAATTTCACAATTTTCGAAAGCTTATTATTCGAAGGGTATTCATGTAAACGTCTTCAAACTTTGTATGCTTTCTTGGTAATTGAAAATTTTTGGTAATTTTTTTAGTAATTTTTCTTAAAGTTAGTAATATTTTGGTTATCGCATGAAATTGAACAAAATACATCATAATGACACAACTTGTTATTCAAAAATCCATTGAGAACAGTCGCAGGTACATGCCTGCAAGGCTGTCCATCCAAATTGCAAGGGGCCCAAGCTGCCCAGCTGGGTCGACAGAATCCTGCTGATTGTGGGCTAGGGACCCGGGGTCCAGGCCCGATCATCGCGGCACCATATTTGCATTTTGCACAATTGCAATCAAAAAGTACAAGTGAGAAAGAAAAACTGGGAAAAAATATAGTTTCAGTGATGGAAAGCGTTTTACTAATTTTGTTTTGCTGATATGTTTTATTGAATTTCAGACCACTTTGGTTGACAGCAGAATTTTAGTAATTTTTTCTACGTTTTGGTAATTTTTTGCATGCTGGTCACACTGTTATTATTAATCAGTTGTATACATTGAACTATAAATAAACTGGAAGGCTAACTCAGTGGGGGGAATTGAAGCCAGTGTATTTTAGTTTTTCTGAGTTATGAGCGGAAATACTCAACACTGAACGTTCGGCTATATATCAAATTGAAGCTATTGAAAAACGCTATTTGGTGTAGAAATTTCAAGACTTTAGCTAAAAGGGAAATATTGAAAAACTACAAACATAATTACCGATACTTTGCCGTTTTGCAGTTGTTTTTGTATTTTTTAAATATTTTTCTTTTCGCTGAAGTCTTGAAATTTCCACACCGAATAGCAATTTTCAATAGCTTCAATTTGATATATAGCCCGACGTTTGGGGTCAAGTATTTCTGCTCATAACTCAGAAAAATTATTTTGGCTTCATCAAATCATAGGCCTTCATCATAGCAGTTAGCCTTCCAGTTTATTTATAGTTCAATGGTTGTATATTAAATCAGTTGTATATATAATATTATTTAATTAGATTCATTTCCTGCTGCGATTAGCTTGCTATTGCAGGATTTGAATCTTGTATTTTGTCATGTGTATTATTCAAATAAAGTTGTAAAATTGTATTGTATTATTATTATATAGTGGTTGCCAGGCGTATATAAACCCGGAGATGTTGTTTATCATTATTTGGATTCTCCGCATGAAGCTATGCAAGTTAAATTTGTATTTCATGGCCATACTGCACATCCCAAATGTGCTCGAGTTGATATCAAAGGCTGTGAGATAGGTAAGAACTTTTGATTACATTTTTTTCAATGCAGACCTACAAATAATTATTTTGTTTGGAAGGACAAATATCCAGTCAAGGCAAAATATATAGACGGCTTCTCTCAGACATATAGATGGCTTCTCTCAAACAATGGACAAAGTACAATGTTTTATTCAAAGGCATAACCATCCAAGTTGAATGGTTATGCTGATAACATTCAAAGTCATTACCATCCAAGTTGAATGGTTATGCTGATGATATTCAAAGGCATTACCATCCAAATTGAATGGTTATGCTGATAATTATATTCAAAGGCATTACCATCCAAATTGAATGGTTATGCTGATAATTATATTCAAAGGCATTACTATCCAAATTGAGTGGTTATGCTGGTAATTATATTCAAAGTCATTACCATCCAAATTGAATGGTTATGCTGATAATTATATTCAAAGGCATTACCATCCAAATTGAATGGTTATGCTGATAATTATATTCAAAGACATTACCATCCAAGTTGAATGGTTATGCTGATAACATTCAAAGTCATTACCATCCAAATTGAATGGTTATGCTGATAATTATATTCAAAGGCATTACCATCCAAATTGAATGGTTATGCTGATAATTATATTCAAAGGCATAACCATCCAAATTGAATGGTTATGCTGATAATTATATTCAAAGGCATTACCATCCAAATTGAATGGATATGCTGATAATTATATTCAAAGGCATAACCATCCAAATTGAATGGTTATGCTGATAATTATATTCAAAAGCATTACCATCCAAATTGAATGGATATGCTGATAATTATATTCAAAGGCATTACCATCCAAATTGAATGGTTATGCTGATAATTATATTCAAAGGCATTACCATCCAAATTGAATGGATATGCTGATAATTATATTCAAAGGCATTACCATCCAAATTGAATGGTTATGCTGATAATTATATTCAAGGGCATTACCATCCAAATTGAATGGTTATGCTGATAATTATATTCAAAGGCATTACCATCCAAATTGAATGGATATGCTGATTATTATATTCAAAGGCATTACCATCCAAATTGAATGGATATGCTGATAATTATATTCAAAGGCGTTACCATCCAAATTGAATGGATATGCTGATAATTATATTCAAAGGCATTACCATCCAAATTGAATGGTTATGCTGATAATTATATTCAAAGGCATTACCATCCAAATTGAATGTTTATGCTGATAATTATATTCAAAGGCATTACCATCCAAATTGAATGGATATGCTGATAATTATATTCAAAGGCGTTACTATCCAAATTGAATGGTTATGCTGATAATTATATTCAAAGGCGTTACCATCCAAATTGAATGGTTATGCTGATAATTGATTAATTTTGCTGCAACTTACAATACAAGAGTCATGTTAACAGATCGTGTTATCTAAAACATATTCAGAGTCATGCATGTTATCACAGAGTTATGTTATCTAGTATATTTAACAGCTATTCTACGAACTCGAGTCGAATATGAGCTGATAGTCGATGAGGCGCCTATCGCTCATGTTCGACGAGAGTGAGTAGAATAACTGTTCAATTATATACACAAGGTCTTAATTCACAGACTTTGCTTTTCGAATATTTTCAACATTTTTCTATTTTTTTTATGTTTTTATCTTCGTTCTTCCGGCCAATTATTTTTTCAAAAAATATATTTTTAACCCTTTTAAATTTTAAACATTCATTTGCTAACCTGTAAACAATTTGTGGGAGTTTTATTATTGTGTTTTTAATCCTTTAAATTAAAGGCTATAAAATGCGAACAAATTGCAGTCTTCTCGTTCGCAAAACGTCGGAAATTCAGTTTGAGCCGCCATTTTGTTTAATTTTATCTACTAGCGGGATATGATCTATTACATCTGTCATCACCTTGCATACCCGTGTGGATGTTTCGGTGCCATCACGGTCAGCAAATGATCTTGGGATTTGAGTTACTTGTATTCAAGTATAACGTGAACATCAAGGCCGGATTAACGTCTCGCGGGGCTCGTGGCATATTATCAGCGCGGGGCCCCCCCCCCAACGACATTTTAAACACTGAATTCAGAAAAAATCAAAAATCCTTTTGTATTTTGTGAAATGAAAAGTTGCCTGGGTATACTTTGAATATTATCGGCATTATCATTCAACTTGGATGGTAACGCTTTTGAATATTATAACCGTTCAACTTGGATGCTTATGCCTTTGAATATTATCAGCATAACCATTCACTTGGATGGTAACGCCTTTGAATATTATCAGCATAACCATTCCATTTGGATGGTAACGCCTTTGAATATAATTATCAGCATATCCATTCAATTTGGATGGTAACGCCTTTGAATATAATTATAGTTCATTCTCATACCTATAGCAACTTTATACTTAAGGTTACAGAACACCTTTGAGTGTTAATTTTGCCTAAAATTTTTTTATTGGTTTCCATGAAAGCACTAGACTATAGTTCTACTACCTGACCAACTTTGAACGAAAAATGTTGAAAACTCGCAGAGTTATTTAATAAAATGCATTTCGCTGCAATAAGAAAAACATTGAAAATGTAATATTCAAATTCAATTTTCTCCCGAAGAATTTTACGGTAATTACTGATTTTCAAACGAGTTGTTCTCCTGCGGGTTTCAGCCCATTTTTCTCAAATTTTCACAGGACATAGCTAAAGACGTCACTTTCAAAATTGTGTTCGGCTTTGTTCTAATTTTAGATATTTTAATAATAAAGAGCAATTCACTCAAACAATTCAGAAATATATTGCAGTTGTCAAAGAAATCGCCATGTCGGCGGAATGACGAAATAAACAAAAAATTCCGAACACTGTTTTTTAGAACAACTATTTTACTGTTTAAAAATGGTATTTTTCACAAATACAACTTAAAACCAGCAGGAGCACAACTCAAAAGCGTAACGGTACCGCGATTTACGATTTTCCTGAATAATTCTTACATTATTTTATTGTTTTTTAATTTTACAACTTTACCATATTTTGCATGCACTGGCGTACATTTGGTGAAAATTTGAAGAAGAGGATTAATAAAAGCACCAAATTGTGCACAGTAGCATCTTTTTATGAGTAGAACAACATGCAAAAGTGGGGCCATCGTGAAACTGGTTTTTTTAGAGAGTTACGATGCTATTTGCATTATTTGCTATTAAATTCTACTACAACAAAAAATGTGAAATTTTGAATTCAATCGCGACAAATATAACTTGCATCATCACAAAGCTTGTAAAAAAACTACATAAAAGACTTTTAAACAGTTTTTTTGATTCTTCAAATGGTTATTGCTATAAATTAGGCACATTATCTCGCTAAAAGTCTCTAATCGGCTAATGAATTATTCGATGTTTGAAAATGCGTTTTTAACAGTTTATAATTCGAAAACTATTTCAGAAATCAAAAAACTGTCAAAATGTCTTATATGCAGTTTTTTTATAAGCTTTGTGATGATGCAAGTCATATTTGTTGTAATTGAATACAAAATTTCGATATGTTTTGGCTATAATAGAATTTAATAGAAGAAAATCACTAATCAGCCGTTTTCAGGAGTTAGCAGCAAAATAGCGATGGCCCCACTTCAAATATCTATTAAGCAAATAAAACTACATCAATTGTAAAAGTTTGATGTTTCTAACCTCAACGGGAACTACTGATCAATAATTTTACACATATCCGCCTCACTAGTAGCGATTTTGCGCAAAACGCCAAAAAGGGTGTCCTGTAACCTTAGGCGTAAAAAAAAATACCTGTGGTTCCGGTTCCCGACCGACCCTATTTTTTTCTGCCGACCCTATTATTTTTTCAACGCGATTGACCGTGCGACCCTATTTTCTCCAGGTGGTTGCGGGCTGCTGCCAAAATGGCGTCTGTAGTCACACTAATTATTGAACCAAATTGCCTAAATTCGTCCATAGGAAATACGCATCTCTAGTTAATATTGATGTCGAGACTCTACTGCAAATCGCCCAGCAAAAAACCGCCAAAACCATGAAAAAAATATTCAAAAAAAATTTTTATTTCCGACCTACCGACCCTAATTTTTTCACGATATGAAACCGGAACCACAGGTATTTTTTTTTTACGCCTTAACATGAGAGCATTTTGTTTGTTTAGATTACTGTAATGATTATCGACCATGCCAGAACGGGGCGACATGCATGAGAAGCAAGAAAAATGGTTATCTGTGCCATTGTCCTTTGGGATACGAAGGAAAAAACTGCCAGTTTGGTATGTATACTCCGAATATTTCCTTTTTGAGCCAAGAATTCATTCATTTCATTTATTTACGAAGTTTCACACCATTTTTTTATGATAGCATTTTAAAGAAAATTCAAAATTATCAAAAAATAACTTAGGCCCTGTTCATATGGGCAAAAGTTATCCCGGTTAATTAGCGAGAAAACATTTCGACTAGCCAAATGATTTTGTTTTGTTCATATGGAGAAACGTTATCCCGCTTACCGGGTAAAGTTTCCGGCTTGTGAGTATGCTTGTGAGTTGTGACGTAGCGCTGGTGTGACGCACAAGGCGGGAAAAGATAAAAAAACAACTTTACAGTAGTGCCAATAGAAGCGTTCCGAAAAATGTTGACCAGTTCATTTCCTAACTTCGAGGAGTTCCTCTGAACAATTCCTCAACAATTTGTTAAGTTCCTTAAAAAGTTCCTAACTTCATGTTTCATTGACCAATCAAATTTTATATTTTAGTTTTGAGCAACCTGATTGGTCAATGAAACAGGAAGTTAGGAACTTTTTAAGGAACTTATCAAATTGTTGAGGAATTGTTCAGAGGAACTCGTCAAAGTTAGGAAATGAACTGGTCAACATTTTTCGGAACGCTTCTATTGGCACGACTGTAAATACATTTTAAAAACAGAAAAGTTGTTGACACGACAGAAAGTTTTTTCGCTAAGCGGGAAAGTTGTGCCCGGTCACCGAGATCTCGGAGAAATCGGTGTTATCGAGTTTTTATTAATGGAAATCCAACAAATTTAGGGACTGGTCATAAAGTAACTGCTAGGGTGGGCTGGAGGTAAATCACTAATTTTGCCAATAAGTTTGGTGACCCGTCTTAGGATGTAGATAAAAATTTCAAAGCCCATCTAATCTTACCAAATTTATTTCATGACCCACCCACCCAATCTAAATTGGGAAAATACAATTTTATAATAAAAAAAACTTGCAGGTATGAACATTGTAAATATACACCGGCACTGTATTGACATACATAATTCCACCAAGCTTGACCAACACATTCATCGCCAATTACGATACTGAGCTGCTCTCCGGTTGGTTGTGTTTGCTGTGATTCGACCACTTCTTGTTGTTGTACATGCAGTTGAAACAAAGTACTGGCTTCAATAGCATCATTTGCATTTGATAATTTGGATAGTTTTGTTTACTTTTATTATTAATATCTTTATGTAATATATAATTAACATGGGTTTTTGTTTGGTGGCCCAACCGTGGACATACCAAAAAATTGGCGGCCCATCGAAACTACCCATCCTAAATCACTCCAGCCCACCCTAGCAGTTACTTTATGACCGGTTCCTTACTTCGCACAAATTATGCATTGTTACATTAACTACGATTAGGATATGACTAACATTTAACGCATGCAATTTAATTATAACCAAGCCGTGCAATGGAACTAACGTATTGTTCAACGGGTTCCATTGCACGCTCAGCCAAATGGTAATATACAATTACTTTATGGTTATGGTTTCCGTGTTTGGATGGCCTGATCCAAACACGTGGGAATGTTGCGAGAGTTAAGAAAAGCGCGCGACAAAATAACAACTTTCCGTGTTAAAATTTCACTTTAAAAAACTCACTTTAAATTTCCGTGTTTGGATGGCTTGGCCAAACACGGGTTTCGATCAATCAGAGCACGCGTTATATACATGTATTATTTCCGATTGTGTAAAACCAATGGACCTTTAATTAACCTTGTAACTAAAATTTTGATCTAGACAAGTCTAGACAAAAATTTCATCACAGCTTGAAAGAGCGTCACACAATTAGTAATATTCCGAAGTTTTGTTGCGAAATGTTGTAAAATATAGCCCTGCGAAATTTGCAATTTACAGTAATTTTGTATTACAAACGGGGAAATTGATACCAACACCCGATTGGGGTATCAATTTCCCGTTTGTAATACAAAATTACTGAAAAACGGCAAACTTCGCAGGGCTATATTATCCGCATTTTACAACATTTTTCTAGACTTGTCTAGATCAAAATTTTAGTTATAAGGTTATTAAAGGTCCATTGTTGGGAAAATACGCGCTTATATACATTGCACGTTGATACACGTTGCGTTTTAACGCACAATGTTGCCGTGACGAAATTAATGCGTGAAGCGTATCATTTATGAACAGTTTAAACGAACATTGGTTATGTTACGTTGAAAATTATCATTAATTAAAAAAAATCGAAATGAATGACGTCATCTTTACTCGGTCGACTGTCATTATGAAGTCATAGATTCGATATCGGGTAGATATTGTTGTATGAATAATCGGTCATCGGTAATTTCCGATTGTGGCACAATCAGTCAACCACTATTGCCCGCGAAGAAATTGATTCAATTTTGGTTAAATTTGGATGAAAATTTGTTGAGAAATGGGCAATTCCAGCTATGGACTAAATTTTGATCTTAGCAAGAAGAAAAAATTATCACCACAACTAGAAAGAGCATGTTAAAATTAGTAAAATTGCAAAGTTTGGCCGCGAAATGTTGTAAAATGCGGCAAATATAGCCCTGCGAAATTTGCAAATTTTGTATTAATTTGTATTACACGCGGGAAAATGCATTTGGGCCGAAAGTGGTACAAATTCCCGTGCGTAATACAAATTAATACAAAATTTGCAAATTTCGTAGGGCTATATTTGCCGCATTTTACAACATTTCGCAACCTGCAAACTTTGCAATTTTACTCATTTTAACATGCTCTTTCCAGCTGTGCTGATGGATTTTGTTCTTCCTGCCTAGATCAAAATTAAGTCTATAACTGGAATTATCCTGGGACCGGTTGTTCAAAAGCCGATTAGCTTAACCCTAGGTTAACTTAAAATTCAAAGGAAACTTCCTAACAGCTTGTTTATAAATTTAGAAATATTTCTTCACAAACCATGTAGTTGGCCGGCCAAGGTGGCAAAAAGTGCCTCTAAAGAGAGTTTGATGGCAACTTTATGTTAGAAGCTGGTAACAGGCATTTTCTTATAGTTCAAGCCTTGGTGAATAAGACTGTGTGTGTTACCACTTCTGATTTTCGCTTTATAGCAAAAAAATTGAGAATTTTAAAATTTTGCCTATTAAATTACTATGATGGCAAAAAATGTAAAATTTCATGTTCTCTTATACAAAAAATAAACTATACCACTAGAAAGAGCGCAAAAAACTATATATAAGATAATTAAGCGACTAGTGCGATTTTCAAGCCGATTTTGAATTAAGGTGGCTCGATATAGTTATCACGAAAACCCTGCTCAAGAATCGCGAACTCAAAACCGGGTGACCATTTTTACGCGCAGGTTGCGGAAACTGATTAACAAAATGAAAGAACTTCCAAAATGACCTGACGTAAGCAGTTGCTCGCGCCATCTCACGCCATTGCGCGTGTTCTATAGCGTTTTATGTCAATTGCTGACGTCATTAGAATTTTCCATTTTAGAAAAACAATGCGCTATATCTCTTTATTTTGCCTGGTGACCTATGTTCAAATTTTGCATGCTGTATTGCACCGCTAAAAACTTTCATTATACAAAAAATAAAAAAATTCTGTAATGCCAAAAAAATTTTACCGAAGAATATGACATTTTCGCATTTTCCAAAAAAATGGCATTACAGAATTTTTTTATATTTTGCTAATTGTTAGCTTTTCGTCCAAGTAAAATAATGCAAGAAAAAAAATTGGGGGTCACCATGCTTCTTTTCCAACTATACGAGACGAAATGCCATTTTGGAGTGTATTTTGTACACGTATGTCGTCATAGCAACGAACTATCTGTTACTAAAACTAATATAATTTGAAAGTAGAGATTTCGAAATATATAAAAAATCCAATATCTGCTGAATATATTTTAAAAATGCGTAGTTTGAACATTTCAAAGTTTTGAACACCTGAATTTTTGAAAACTGTATCGAGCCACCTTAAAGATGGTTAAAGTTGGCAAAATGGGTACTAATTAGCATTAATTTGGTCATTTCAGCATTTTTTAACATTAAAAACTCGAAATAGGATTGGAAAAATGTAGAACTCACTTAATTGTCTTATATATAGTTTTTTACGCTCGTTCTAGTGGTATAGTTTATTTTTCGTATAAGAGCACATGAAATTTTACATTTTTTCCGATCATAGTAATTTAATAGGCAAAATTTTAAAATTCTCAAATTTTTGGCTATAAAGCAAAAGTCAGAAGTGGTAACACATATAGTCTTGTTCACCAAGGCTTGAACTATAAGAAAATGCCTGTTACCAGCTTCTAACATAAAGTTGCCATCCAGTTGTACAAATTGATGACTTGGCCGGCCGTCTAATGTCTGGATCAATATAAGTTTTCTTTTCTGACATTTTGAAATAAATGGACATGCAGAAATATGCAAACTAAAACAGTGGGTTAAATTTTAAACCTGGATTAGCGCTAATCCACCTTTGAACAACCGGCCCCAGATTAGCAAAAGTTTGTCTTGCTTTGAGTGAACTAAATGTGCAACTACCGGGTGTCCCCCAGAAAACTGGAAACTGTTTGATTTCATGTAACGCAAAGGCTATAAAAACTATCGCAGTGAAATAAAGAACATTGCATTCAGAAAGGACTAACGTAGATTGTGATATATACGATTTGAATTCACATGCAATATTGACTGCGCTATTGATGTTTGAACGTTGAACTACTGTTTTTGAAAATGCCAAAAATTTAGCATAAAACAACCTTATAATTACCGACGGTAGTTATAAACAATAAATATTTTTTTCTTTTGGTTGTATCTCGCTCAATATTGCATGTAAAGTCAAGTGCTATATGCAATATATGAACAACGAGAGCGAGTGTTTCACCGGGATATCCAAACACGAGAAAACAATGTATACATTGTTTTCGAGTGTTTGGATATCCCGGTGAGACACGAGCTCGAGTTGTTTATATGGCTTCTCAAATGAATCGAGACGTAACAGAATGTTTTCGTTTGCTGATTTGAATAGAATTCTTAACCAAGCATAACGTAATTAGGAATTCTATTCAAGTAATTTTGCATGCGTAATTAAGATATTTGATGAAAACACTAGTGACTTTCATCAAGTTTCACCGGGTTATCCAAATGCACGGCATCTTGTGATCAAATAGGTGATTATCATTGGCTGAATTGCTCATGAATTACTTAATGAATTTGAGAAGTACTATATCCAACACTCGCAAATGTTCTTCCTCCGATTTCTAAATACAGACAAGCAGGTTGAAAATACGGCTGTAATCGTCCACTTATTTCTAAATACAGAATTGACATACATTTGTTTTGAATTTCCTTCATGAACTATTAATGAGTTTAAGAAATCAACATCTAATTAGTTAGTCCTTTCTGAATGCAATGATCTTTATTTCATTGCGATAGCTTTTATAGATTTTACGTTACATGAAATCAAACAATGTCTAGTTTTTTTTTGGGGGGGGGGGGGACACCTGGTACATTGTACAATTTATGTCGTCTTGCGTTCGAATATACCTTCTACAAAATACCAATCTAATACTGTACTAAAAGTATATTTTTCGTTACTTGTAGCTACGAAGATTGGAATATGTATTCCACCTCTTGGCGTTGACTCACCTGCAATAATACCAGATGACCGTATAACTGCAGCCACAGCTATTGGGGGTTTTGAGCCTAAGTATGCTCGACTCAATGAACAAGTGAAGGCCTATTGTGCGTGGCCAAGCCAGGATGGCACTTTAACGATCACTTTTGACAGTCCAACATTAGTTTTATCCCTTCAAATGAGAGGACATCCAACGGATCTCGACTGGGTAACAAAATTCCAGGTGCGCGCTGCCGGACAGTGGCTTGATTTGACTGGTAACACCGAACAGGGAGACCAAACTATTTGGCGACCTTTTTTCAATAATGAAACCTCGATGCAATTCTCAATTACACCAATTGAGTCAAAAATGAGGAGATGTATGAGAGTCGAGTTATTTGGAATCAATGAAGGTCAGTATTGGTGTTATACACGGCCATCGGACCTTGATGTAGGAATGGGATAGTTAAGTTTGTCTGTTGAAGTCATCAGAGGCCGGTTGTACGAAGGTCGGATAGCACTATCCACCGGATAGTGATTTTTTCAAGTTTTATTAAATCAGTCGTTGATTGGTATAACTCGTACTAGAGTTTAGTATTTATAAGTTGAATGTTTTTTATACTTCTTGTGTCGTCTATATCCGTATAGTTCCAAAGTTTTGCAAAGGGTGAAAAAATCACTATCCGGCGGATAACGCTATCCGGCCTTCGTACAACCCGCCCCCAGTACTCTACAGGATA